AAAAAAAAAAAAAAAAAAAAAAGATGGCATAGTATTTGCACATAACCTACTCATAGTCAAATCACCTCTAGTTACTTAGAATACCTCATATAATGCAAACTTTCTCTAAATCACCTCTAGTTACTTAGAATACCTCATATAATGCAAATGCTATGTAAATAGTTGTTGTATTGTTTTTAAATTCGTATTATTTAGCTGGGTGCAGTGGCTCATGCCTGAAATCCCAGCACTTTGGGAGGCTGAGGCGAGAGGATTGCTTGAGCTCGGGAATTCAAGACCAGCCTGAGCAACATGGTGAGACCTTGCCTCTACAATAAATCAAAAAATTAGCTGGGCATGGGGATGTAGGCCTGTAGTTCCAGCTACTTGGAAGGCTGAGGCGGGAGGATTGCTTGAGCCCAGCCAGTTGAGGCTGTGTTGGCTGTGAGTGTGCCACTGCACTCCAGCCTGGGTGACAGAGTGAGACTCTGACTCAAAAAACAAGAGTGTATTATTTTTGTTGCATTGTTGAGATAGGGTCTGGCTCTGTGGCCCAGGCTGGTGCACAATGGTGCAATCATAGCTGACTCAGCCTCAACCTCTTGGATTCAAGGGAAGCTCTCCACTCAGCCTCCCGAGGAGCTGGGGTTACAGTTGTGTGCCACCACACCCACCTCATATTTATTTTTATTTATTATTATTTTATTATTATTTTTTGAGTTGGAATCTCACTCTGTTGCCCAGACTGCAGTGGCACGCTCCCAGCCACTGTAATCTTGACCTGCTGGGTTCCAGCGATCCTTCCACCTCAGCCTTCCAGGCAGCCAGAACTGCAGGCGTGCACTACCACGCCCAGCTAATTTTTGATTTATTGTAGAGACGAGGTCTTGCCAAGTTGGCCAGGTGGATCTCAAACCCGCGGACTCAGGCAATCCACCAGCCTCGGCCTCCCAAAGTGCTGGGATTACAGGCTGAGCCACCGAGCCTGGCCATTTCCTGATATTTTTTATTTGAACTTGTTTGAATCTGCGGACGTGGAATCCATGGATATGAAGGGCTATTTGTATGCCTTAAATCATGCACTTTCCTGTAGGCAAATATCATGAAAGAGTGAAAAAGAAAGAAAAAAAAAAACAAGCAGAGAAGAAAAGGAAGGAAGGAAAGGAGAAAGAAGGATGGGAAACATGGGCCAGTGTCGTAGGCAGCCCCAGCAGCCCTCTGGGGCTCACTCTGGGAAGGGGTTGGCACCGGGTTCATGGCTCTGCTGCTGATGTCGTGAAATGCAGCATAATTTTTGAACATGGGCACCTGCAATTTCATTTTTCAGCAAATTATGTACAGAGAAAAGGAAAAGAAAGAAGTCAAAGAGAGATGGGCTTTGAAGATGAGAGGCAGAGAAACGGGGAGGGGCAAAAAAAACCCCAGCATTATCCTTTGGAGGCCGCACCCCTTTGTAGGACAGGCTTCCCCTGCTAGATTTAAGTGTCCTAGGAACCCATCGGCATCAATGTACCTGCTAGTGTTGTTGTGAGAGGCTGCGTTCAGCTTCAGTTAACTTTTTAAAAGATTCTTTCAACGTGTTTGCCCATTGTCATAATGGGTGATTTGCGAGTGCACCTGCCCACACTATGCTGGGTGTTCTGCAGTTTTTGACCAAAAATGGCATGACACCCCCCTCCCACCATGTAACCCACCTCTCTATTCACCTGATCTTGCCCGAGCGACTTGTTTTTGTTTCCCTGGATGAAAATATTCCTCAAAGGGAAATGTTTTGTTGATGTGGAAGAGATGAAACAAAAAAATGGCAGAAGCACTAAAAGGCATTAAAATTGACAAGTTCAAAAACTGTTTTGAGCAGTGAAAAAAGCATCTTGATGGGTGTATTGCATCCAACAGAGAGTACTTTGAAGGTGCCTAAAGTTTAAACATGTAAGAATAAATACATAATTTTTCTGTCTGGGTGCGGTGGCTCACGTCTGCAATCCCAGCACTTTGGGAGGTGAAGGCGAGAGGATTGCCTGAGCCCAGGGGTTCGAGACCAGTCTGGGCAACTTGGCAAGACCTCGTCTCTACAATAAATCAAAAAATTAGCTAGGCGTGGTGGCACATGCCTTTGGTTCCAGCTACTCAGAAGGCTGAGGTGGAAGGGTCACCTAAGCCCAGGAGGTTGAGGCTGTGGTGGCCGTGAGCGAGCCACTGCACTCCAGCCCGGACTACAGAGTGAGACTCCTACTCAAAAAAAAAAAAACAAACAACAAAAAAAATCCCACAATTTTTAATAATTAAATTCTGGGTCTTTTGGGTCCTCCTTGTAGTGAGAGGCAGAGACAGGCTTGGAGAGAGAGGAGGGACAAGAGAGACAGCAAACCTGGGAGGAAGTTTCCCTGACTCACAGAAAGACAGGACTCCCTCAGAGACAGAGAAGTGGAGACAAAGACAGGGGAAAAAAGAAACCAAGAGAAGCAGCCCTGAAACGACAGAGAGAGAACCAAGTGAGGCCGAGGATGGAGTGAGACATAGGCAGAGCCCAGGGCCCCAGGGGAGATGCTCCTGGTCAGGCAGTGTCGGAGGGGAGTCATGGGAGTGTCGGAGGGGGAGGTGGGCTCACCTGTGTGCCCGTCTGGCCTGCATGGGCCAGGGCAGTTCCCGGGAAGGGTGAGGTTCTTGCAGCTCCTTTTGGGTGGCTTCTGTGACAGCCCGACTGCTTCTTCCTCCATCCTCCACCTCCTCTACCAGTGTCCCCCAAGGCAACACCCCAGGGCCTCGGTACCGGAGGGTGGCAGCACTGGGCAGTTCATTCAGCACAGAGGACAGTGATGGTCCTGCACACGAGGGCAGAGGGCTTGAAAGACCCAGGGTCCAGGCCCAAGACCCACCTCCCTCAGACCTGGGAGTTCAGGTCCCCTGCCATCCTTCCTCAGACCCAGGAGTCCAGGCCTCCAAGCCCTCTTCCCTCAGATGGAGGAGTCCAGGCCCCCAGCTCCTCCTCCCTCATATTCAAGAGTCTAGGCGTCAGCCCCTCCTCCCTCAGACCCAAGGGTTCAGATCCCCAGCCCTCCTCCCTCAGACCTGGGAGTCCAGGCCCCCAGCCTTCCTCCCTCAGACCCGGGAGTCCAGGCCCCAGCCTCTCCTTGCTCAGGCCCAGAAGTCCAAGCCCCTAGTCCTCCTTCCCCAGACCCAGGAGTCTGAGTCCCCAGCCCCTCTTCCCTGGGACCCAGGAGTCCAGGCCCCCAGCTCCTCATCCCCCAGACCCAGCAGTCCAGGCCGCAGCCCCTCCTCCCTGAGACCCAGGAGTTTAGAATTTCCAACCTCTGCTTCCCTGGGCCCAGGAATTCATACACCTAGATCCCTTCCCCAAGGACCCAAGTATCACCCATAGGCCCCTCTTATTCCAGGCTTCCACATCCTTTCCCCTCTTATTCAGAAGTTTGGGAACTTGACTGCCCTCCCATTCCTAAGACACCAAGACCTAGCCCCAGCCATCTCCTCTCCAGAACTAGGGTTCAGCTCTCCAGCCTTCTCTGCCTCCAGTCATCCCAGCCTCTAGCTCCCTTCTCCCTGGTAAACTCAGGAAGTGAAACCTTTGTCTTCAGCCCTCAGGCCCAGGAGTCTAGGCCTCCCCGCTCCTCCCCCAGGGCCTCTACCCGGCCTGAAGGTTGGACGGATTTGAGCTTCCCAGGATCTCCCACCTCCTCTGGCCCCTCGGGGGGCTAGCCACCCCCTAGAGGAGCCCCAGGCGTCCGATTCCCAGGTCGCGTTTTTCTCCATGGCCCCAGGCTCAGCTGCGTCTCTGTGGTCACCTGGGCGGGGTCTGCCCAGGGAAGGGAGGAGCCTGGGGCTAGTGTGTACCTGGCCAGCAGGTGGCCCAGAGGGAGTCGGGTACTTCCCATAAACTCAGGGTTGGGCTGCCAAAGGTCTCCTGGGAGCTGAAGTCCCTGCGGCATCCCGAGTCTATCACCTGGTCCTGGGCTGGGGCGCTCACCCATCTCACGGGGGACTCGGCGCCTCCCCTGGGTAGACCTCCCGCAGAGACTCACACAGAGATGTCTTTGTGCAACACTTTACTGGGAAAGATTTACACATTCTGACCTCAGGCCGAGATGACAGGAGTGTGACGGGAGCATGGAGGCCCTGAGGTGTCAAGCGGGAGCCACAGAATGGCAGTCGCAGGCCTGCTCATCTGCACCTCAGTTTCCCCTTTATGAAATGGGAAGTCTGTGCTCCCTCTCAAGAGTAAAATACTGGTCTGATGAGCTAAAATGGAGTGAGAGACACAGGAAAGGGCTGCCCACTCCCAGGACCTGGCCCCAAAACTCCTGACCCTCACTGGGAATCGGATTCCCCTTGGGCATGGGAATATGCCCAAGACACTGCAGTCACTGGCCTCGCAGCTCTGGGGAAGTACAGCACTGTCTGATACCCAGAAGCTGCAGAAGGGACATGTGAGGCAATACCCCGACTTTAAGGAGGGGGAAGTGGCCACCGGTGGCCCCAGGGCAGAGGGCGAGAGCACCCAGCCTGGCTTCAGTTAGAGGCAGGGTGTCTAGCTGGGGCAAGGAGATTCTCTCCAGGGCCCTAGCCAAGCTAGGGACCTCTCTTGGGAGAGGAGGCAGCGCCTGGTTCACAGAATCCCCAGAGAAGCCAGGGCTGGCGGTTGGCAGAGGGCGTGATGGGCACTTACTCCTCCCGGAGCTTCTCCGGGGCCAGGCTGGTGGCCTGGGACGTGGCCTTCCGCCGGCTGGGGCTGCCTCCACCCAAAGCCAGCCCCAGCCCCAGCACCGCCAGTGCCAGGAAGTGGATGCAGAAGTAGATGGAGGCCCAGTAGCGGAGGGTGTCACCCAGGGAGAGGAGCACAAAGCCCATGCACATGTAGTCGTAGGCGCGCATCTTCAGGAACCAGTGTACCCAGTCCCAGGCCTTCTGGCCCCCGGGGCTTAGCCGGCCTCGCAGGGCAGACTCCAAGCGGCCCTCAGCAGCCAGGCACAGCGGGATGGTCAGGAAGCTCAGGTAGTAGCCCGGGTGCAGGCCGTGCCAGTAGGCGCTCAGCAGCATGGTCCAGGCGCTCCTGGGGGAGGGACAGAAATCAGGATCTGGGAGGTCAGGCTCTTGAGCCCACTGTCCCCCAACTCAGGAATAGGACCCCGGCCCCTCCTCCCTCAGACCCAGAAGTCCAGGCCCCCAGCCCCGCTTCCCTAAGACCCAGCAGTCCAGACCCTCAGTCCCTCCTCCCTCAGACTCAAGAATCCAGACCCCCAGCTCCTCCTCCCTCAGACCCAGGAGTCCAGGCCCCAGCCCCTCCTCTCTCAGACCCAGGAGTCCGGTCCCTGCCCCTAGCCTTCCTCCCTCAGACCTGGGAGTCCAGATCCCCAGCCCTCCTCCCTCAGACCCAGGAATCTGAGCCCCCAGACACTCTTCCCTCAGACCCAGGAGTCTGGGCCCCCAGAAACTCCTCCCTTAGAATCAAAAGTCTTGTCCCCCAGCACCTCCTCCCTCAGATCTGAAAATCAGGTCCCCAGCCCTTCCTCCTTCAGACTCGAGCATCCAGGCCCCAGCCCCTCCCCCTTTATACCCAGGAGTCTTCTCCCCTACTTCAGAAGGTGGAGCAGGCTATGGGCCTTTGTCTCCTTCCCAGATGCAGAAGCCCAAGCCCCCATCCAGTCCCCAGCAATCCTAACCCAGAAGGCCCTCTCTTCCTTTAAAGATCTAACGTTTACTGGGCATGGTGGCTTACACCAGTAATCCCAGCACTTTGGGAGGCAGAGGAAACAGGATTGCCTGAGCCCAGGGGTTAAAGACCAGACCGGGCAACTTGGCGAGACTTCATCAATACAATAAATCAAAAAATTAGCCAGGCATGGTAGCATGAGCCCATAGTTTCAGCTACTTGGAAGGCTGAGGCAGAAGGATCGCCTCAGCCCAGCAGGTCGAGGGAGACTTTGGTGGCTATAGGTATGCCACTGCACTCCAGCCTGGGCAACAGAGTGAGACTCCAATTCAAAAATAAATAAATAAAAGAACCACTGGTCTAAACACTGAAGTTCCAGGCTGGGCAACACAGTGAGACCTTGTTTCTATGAAAAAAAAAAAGCTGAACATAGTGGCACACACTTGTAGTCCCAGCTACTTGGGAGGCTGAGGCAGGAGGACTGCCTCAACCCAGGAGGTTGAGGCTGCAGTGAGTTGTGATTGTGGCACTGTACTCCAGCCTGGGTGACAGAGTGAGAACCTGACTCAAAAAAACAAACAAAAAAAAGCACACTGGGGTGCCCTGGGCTTTGAGCTGACCCTCAGCCCAGAGTTTTCAGTATCATCTGTCCCTGATGCTGCTCAAGTGTCCACCTCCGACACCAACCCCCCTCTGTAAGCAGCAGACTCATATAACTGCCCATCCCCACCGGAAACCCAATAGTTGCTCAAGGTGATGAGCCTGAACCCATTCTGCCTCCTCCTCCCCTCCTGCTGGGCCTTCCTGCTGGGCCCCCTTCTCAGTCACTGGTGCCCATCTCCTGGGACTCGTGTTTCATTTCATCCTTCTTGTGCCTGTGCCTGGTTCACACCCAGCCCCAATGCCCCTCTCAGATTCACTCGCTGCTAGGCCACTGCTCCCCACCACAGGACTCCATCACCTCCCACCTGGATGGCCCCAAGGCCTCCAAGTTTCCTTTCTGGCTCTACCTCCTGCCCCTCCCCAAGTTCACTTTCCACACAGAGCCAAAGTGGATCTTTAAGAAGTAAATCAGATCAGGTACCCAGGTAAGTCTAGCTTCAGAGCCTGACTCCTTCGTTATGGGAATGCGTCATGGTATATCCTGACTTGTCAGGTGGTTCAGGAAAGGCTCAGTGTCACGGAGTACATTCCTAACCTCCCTGAGCCTCAGTTTCCTCACTTTTTTTTTTTAGTAGAGTCTCACTTTGTCGCCCAGGCTGGAGTGGAGTGGTACACTCATGGCTACTGCAGCCTTGACCTGCTGGGTTCAGGAGATGCTTCTGCCTCAGCCTTCCAAGTAAGCTAGAACCACAGGCATGTGCCACCATGCCTGGCTAATTTTTAAAATTTATTGTAGAAATGAGATCTCACCACATTACTCGGGCTGGTCTTGAACCCACGGGCTCAGGCAGTCCTCTTGCCTCTGCCTCTCAAAGTTCTGGGATTATGGACGTGAGCCACTCTACCCGGCCAGTCTCCTCATTGTTAATATGGGACTAGGCCAGACACAGTGGTTCACACCTTTAATTCCAGCACTTTGGAAGGCTGAGGTGAGAGGACTGCCTGAGCACACGGGTTCAAGACCAGCCTGGGCAACTTGGCAAGACCTCATCTTTACAGAAAATCAAGACAAATTAGCTGGGTGTGATGGCACATGCCTGTAGTTCCAGCTACTTGGAAGGCTGAGGCAAAAGGATTGCTTGAGCCCAGCAGGTCGAGGCTGCGGTGGCTGTGAGTGTGCCACTGCCCTCCAGCCTGGGCGACAGAGTGAGACTCCAACTTAAAAAAAATGATAATGATAATGAGTCCTCACTTCTAAAAACTGTAAAGCCAATAATGTCTAGCATACAGTCTCCATGCCAGAAATATCAGATGAAGAATAATAAAAGCGAATATACACAAGCACTCATATGTCATGCCTCACACTAAATACAATTCACGCTCTATCCCAATTCATCCTCCTATCTACCTCTAAACCAGTGATAAATAGCATTATCTCCATTTAAGGATTGAGGGAACTGAGGTTAACTAACTCCTCCTCAAGGTTCCTCAGTAACTTGCTTGGTCAAGATCCCACAAAGTCTGGCAACCCACAGGACTCACAACACTGCTTCTGTTGGGTGAGGCTGACTTTACAGAAGTAGAAACTGCGGCTCAGAGAGGGGGAGTGACTTACCCCAGCCGTAATGCCTCTTGTGGGGCAAGACAAGAAACAGGCTGAATAAACCACAACTCCCATGAGCCTTAGGGGCAGGGGCCCAACCAAGGGAAGCTGCATGCTGCCCTGGGGCCTTCTGGGAGATACAGTTCTGTGGTGTTGTCTGAGGCCAGGCAGGGCTTGCTCACCTCAGGACATAGGAGCGGGCAGGTGCACTCTTGTAGATATACTGCGCCAGCCACCACTGCACCGTCATGTTCCAGTAGCGCATGCCATCCCGCACCCGCACACAGAAGTCCGTACCGTAGCAGTCGATGTTGCGGATGGTCTCATAGTCGTACTCCAGGGAAGCCGCCTTCTCCGGACTGGGGGAGGTGGAGGATGAGGGTGGGGGACAGACATGCAGCTCAGCCAGGCCCCCTCCCGATGTCTGCTGCTGTCCCTGCCCCGGATGCTAAGGAAGGGATTCTGGCCAGGCAACGGCCCTCTGGCTGTCAGACTTGCTAGGGCAACAGGGAAGGGTAGCCCAGACGGAGCCTTTAGGGGAGAAGGGTGGGTGGATCAGGGGACAGTTCACCAACAATGGAGTTCCCCTCCTCTGGGTAACTCACAGGGCCTGCCATAACCATGAGAAGTCTTGAGGGGCTATGGTTGCTGAGCTACGAGTCCTTTAGCAACTAAGCTTGGAATATTCAGATAAGCCTCCAAGGATGGTCCCTTCTGAGTTGTCAGATACTGTGGTTGCTAGGGAAGTACCATCCCTAACAACAAGGTGGTTCATGGTTGGTAGGGAGATGTTCTAGGCCCTCATGAGGTCTCAGTGATCTCTGTTGCTAAGGAAAAGGCATTCCTTAGCAACAAGGCCTTGGATGTTTGGAAAAGCTTCCAGAAAGGGCCTTTTTTCCTGGTCCCTGTGATTGTTGGAGAAGTGTCACCTCCAATAATACAGTAGCTCCCAGGTCACTGGTGGCAACAGACCCAGCAGTGGGGAATGTCCTTGGCCCACATGAACCCTTGGTGGCCTCTGTCTGATGATAGACGGGGAGCCATCTTTTAGGAATGGGGGCCCAGCAGATTTAGAAAAGCCCTCAATCCCTGCTTGACGTGCTCTCTCTAGCAGCTGGAGGTCAGCCCAAGGTTACTAGGGCAGTGGCATTAAGTACATGTGGGGTGTCATCACCTTCACAAGAGAATGGCAGTTTGTGATGACTAGGGGATGGCACCACCCTAGTAGGAAGGAGTAGTTCATCATTTACAGTGAAGGGCTGTTCCTGACCTGAGCCCTAGGCAGAGGGCTGACCTTGGTTGCCGGGAACTGTGGGCAGTCCACTCCTGGTTGCTAGGGGTGCCATTTCCCTAGCAACACTGGGGCGTTACTTCCTCAGCAACAAGGGTGCCCACTAGCAGTGCAACTCCCTAGCAAAGAAGGTTTGGGGGTGCGTGGGGGGGCGGTATCACTAGCAACAAGGGTCCAGGGAGGCTGGGCTTCCTTAGCAACAGTAAGAAGGAAATGCCGTTGCTAGAAATGGCATCCCCTCTGCTGGGGGATTCAGGGATGCTGTTTCCTTGGAAACAGAGGACAACTCAGAGTTGCTATGTGATGACATCCCCACAGGATGGGGAGCACTGGCTCCAGGCAACAAAGGGGTAGTTCAGAGGTACTATTTCCATAGCAACAAAGAGCAGGACTTCTTGACAAGAAGGGGCAAGACCACTGTTGTTAGGTATCCCGGTTCCCTGGCAAAGAAGGGCTGTTCAGTTGCTAGGAAACTGTATCCCTAGCAACAGAGGGTGACCCACCACTACCAAAGGATGGCATCCTGAGCAACCAGGAACAACCTGGTTCTTGGGGTGACACTTCCACGACAACGGAGGAGCACTAGTGTTTGCTAAAATACCACCTTCCTTTCCCTAGCCCCGGAGGGCAATCCACCATACCGAGGGGTGGCAAGCACTAGCAACAAGGGGCAATCTGTGGGTACCAGGGGTCTGTTTCCCCACCGACAGGGGCAGGCCGGCCGTGGTAGCCAGGGGGCAACACGCGGCTAACTTCAAGTGGTGGCCCTGCATCCCTGCTCCCTGCTCTCCTCCCTGCTAGGGGCAGGGCCAGCCCTTGGTGGTGGGGCCTGCCGGGTCTTGGAAAGCCTCCCTCCCGCCGCCTGACCTGCTGGGGGGTGGGCATTGGAGGGTGGGGCCGCCCCCGGCCCGGGCTTTGGCGGCCACGGGGTAGGCCCCGAAGCCGGCGGCAATGCAGCCGCACTCGGCGGCAATCCAGGCCACGTAGAAGCGCATGCGGAAGGCGAAGAAGACCGGGATCATGTAGAAGAGGCGGGCGGGCAGCGGGCGGGCGTAGAAGGCGTCCTCGCGCACGGCCTCCAGTGGGAACAGGTGCGAGGACAGCAGGAACAGCAGCCCGAAGAGCGGGGCTGGCCAGGCGCGGCGCAGCAGGGGCCGCAGGCTGGGCACGGCCTCGGGGAAGGGCTGCTCCCGCCAGTCCC